AACTCAATTGATCGAAGAATTTTATTTTCCTGTAACGTCCTTTTGAGTTATTTTAAGAGACATACTCATTGCATGCGTGAGAAGAAATTTATAATACAAAATTTGTGGTTGAAATTAGCGAGGGCTAACAATTGAAGATAGAAAACTTTGCGGAGTAATTGTGAAGAGTCTAATATATTTCCCAACAGTAATTTCAATATTCAGAAAGTATAAAGTAAAATATATTTAATATCATAAAAAGTGCAAATAATTGTTATTTTATTTAGTAATTGATAAAAAATGGGAAAAAAAGTTTAAAAGGTTAAAAAGAATGGAATAAATTATGCTCGGTCCTAAGAAATTGTTTAAAAAAGGGTATTTTGGATTGACAGGAACGTTTTTGTCAGTTTGAGAAGAAGGGGTTTTGGGTGTAAAAAAACTGCATTCGTGGATGACTCCAAATGGGTAACGGGTCAGGTCGCAGTTGGAGTACATGTGGAAGACATTAGACAGGGATGGCATCTAAAAGGATGCAGATGCACTTGACTTGAGGGTTGGGACCCGTATTCATAAGGACAAAGTTCCCACGTGCCATGGTCCCGTAATGTGAACCCACGCGAATGGAAGTGTGGAGATGGGTGGGGGATGGTGGAGCGTGGGCATCACGCGGTGGAGAAAAGGAGTGTGATGATGATGGGAAATAGTACTAAAATAATGAATAGGAAGGAGTTCAAATGATTGTGATGAGGAAGATGTCGGTGCGTGAAGGGACAAGATGACAGGGGCGAATTTGTCCGGGAAGGGGGCCCAAATGTGGAGAGATTAGAGAGGTCGAATGGGTGGTTGTGGCACGTGTCATGTTGGTCCACGTGAGCTGGGGGTCAGGTTTATGTTCCACACTTCCTTCATTTCCGCAGCCCCCTCGCCCACGTGAACTCAACTCTTACTTGTCTCCCCTCTCTCTCTCTCTCTCTCTCTCTCTCTCTCTCTCACACACACACAGCACTTCAATTTGCCGTTGGTGGCTAATGGCTATCCCCTAAAACGGCTCGCTCTGTTGCTTCGGTTAAGCCAAAATGTCGGAGAGCTAAGAGAAAAGAAAACACATGTTTAAATTTATAAAATACTTTTTAAAAAATAATTATAATTAATTCAAAATGTTGTAGAAAAATTGTTTAAAACATCAATCTTGTTAATTTTAATACGTAGAATTGAGTTTACGATAAATATAAAATATTTATTTTAAAACTATTTATCATATTCAAATATAATAGATATTTTTAAAGCATCTATTATTATTAACTATTTAAATTTAATTTCTTTTAGAATAAAAATTATTATAAAAAATATGCAACTAGAGTATATTTAATTCAACGTGAATTTAATTTTATACAATAAGTCATGTGATTTAAATATAAATTAATATAAAACCAAAAAATTATATAATTGAAGAAAACATGGAATAATTTGAAAAGGCATGAGATAAAATTTTTCAATGATATAAATTTAATAAAGTCACACAAAAAAGCTATGATATGGAAGTATAGTTTGGAAATAATGCAATAATTTCATAACCACTCACTAATATAAAAATAAATATAATGCGATAATTTTTATAAATAAAATTATAAAGGTGCAGTAAATTTCATTTAAATTAAAATAATTTAATTTGATTCATTTCTTTTTATTTTTTAACAAACTCTTATGGTCTGATATTTATTGATTTATATCTTAACTGTAAACTTTCACAATGTGTTTATCAAGCTTAATTATTTTCCAATTGTAGTTTTGTTGATGAACAGTAACTCTATTAAGCAGTACTCTTTGAACTCAGTCTCGACCATATACCGTGGCTTATACGCGCTGTAAATTAAAGCCATAAAACGAGGATAAACAACGCACAAGTTTGTGGCGGAGATGGGAAGGAGACATATTAATAGGGTTGTTGAGAGGGGAAAAAAGATTGAGAAAACGACGTTGTTGCCTTGGCTGGGGAAGGCCCTCGTAACTGCACGATACGAGTGTCGCATAGGATTAAGGGATAATGGGACCCAATGAGAGACAAGCAAAATAATGAAAAGGTTATCTGTTTGGTTCCAATCATGACCATTCGCTGTGTTGATTTGGACAACAGGTGGTGACGGTAAAATGTAAAACAAAGGGTGATGATGGTGTCCCTATCATTGACATTTGACCTCAGCCGTTGATGTAGGGGGTTGCTTCTTCATGAGGAGGAGTCTTCAGGTGCGAGCTGCCCCACTGGGTTAAATGCTCAATATTTCTTGCGATTTGCCATTAGACACTGTTATGAGCCAACCTAGTGGATTTAATTGGGATTGGTAGATTCACCCATCAAGCAATTTTAAATTATGTCGGGACAATGGATGAAATAAAAAAAATTAATTTGCACAAATAAAAATAAGAAAAATAAATAAATTTTAAAAAAATCAAAGTTAATTATTTTTAAAAATATACGAAGTCAAATAGAATTATAAAAATTAAAATATAAATGTGTTAAAAAACAAAAATATAATTAAACTTAGTTAATTTTGTCGATTAATTTGGCCTGTGAATACAGAAGGTAGCTAATAATGAGTACTTCCTCTCATCCTTCTATTTTCTATTTTTATTTTTTATTTTATTTTAAAATTTGTGGTTTTATATTTTTAATATTTATTTATATTTTTTAACCTATAAGTTTTATTTAATGACTATAGATGAATTTTAATTTATCCAGTCACATCACTTATTCTATTTTCTTTTTTGAACATACAATAAGACTATTTTAATCAAAACTTTTTCATTAGCTACGTCAAATAAAACGTTAATAATACTAAAGAAGTTTTATTAACAAATATTTATTATATTTTTATAAAATAAGATAATAAATATTATTTATTTTGTTCCATAATCTCTTCGGTTTCAGCACTTTTGTGTGATATTTTTTTTTTCTTAATGGATTCAATTAATTTTTATCCTCTCCATCTATTTCTCTTTATACATCCAAATTAAACATTTTTTTTCTCGCATTTGTATATTCCTTTTTTCTTTCCTGTTGTATTTCTTGTCATCCAAACACAGCTCGGACAGTACCTTGCTTCCCTATTTTTTCCATGCAGCTTCAAATTCTTCTTGATCCTCACATTAAAAATCCCACACTTTTGTTAATATTCAAATTACGCTTTTTCTGCCAGACAGCTTCCACCTTCAAACCATAATGAAGAAATTCAGTGTCAATACTAATTAATGTCTTTTTCTGCGCTTACTCATTGACGTTTTCTATTAGTATACCAGATTATTATTATTTTTGCCCGATAACATAAAACATTTATTTAAAATTTGTGATTTACATATAAACTTGGAAAAATTTGTTTACACGAGTTTAACATTAGAAGCAAAAAGCATGAAAGGTACGTCTTAATTAAATAGAAAGGTTTAGCATCCTTGTAGAGAAGCCTTAAAAAGAAAGCAATAATAAGTAATTTGGTTTAGATTAAACTCGAGAAAATAAATAATTTTCAAAAAGTAAAAAAAAAAAAAAAGAATGAATGAAACACGCATTAAAGTTATTATTATCATACTTCATTTTAAAAAACCCAGCGGGGCTAATTTATTTGCAGTGTTAGAGTGATGTTTTAATTTAAGAGCACGATATCTCGATTGTCATGGCTCACAACTAAACCTTGGTTTATATTTATAAGTTCTTATTACCAGTTGACTAGTTATCACAGTACCCATTTGAAAATCCAATAAAGCTACATAAATTATATTTTAATGTAAAAACTACAATTTACTGTATAGATATTAGAAATAATATAGAGTTATGTTAATCTGAGGCCATCCAAACATGTCAATAACTACCCACTCAGTGCGTAGAATCACGTTTTGATAGCTGTTATTGCTAAGACAATATATATGTGTATTTTGGAATACATATTTATACTAATACTGTAAAAACGGTATTTAAGAACAAATATACAACTACGATAATCTTTATAATGTTCGATATAATTTAGTTTTTCGTTTATATATAAAATGTGAATATGTGATTGATAATTCAAAGACTCTGCTTCAATTTTAATATTTTCTAAACGCATAAATCGAGTGTGATTCTAATTCTATAATTGATAAGAAATATACTTTAAAGAATCATTCTAAAAAATCAATAATATAAGTGCACCTAACATATTGAAAAGTAAAAATTACTTATGAAAATATATTTATGAAATTAAATAACAATATTGTAAAAAGAACTGCATGAAATACCATCGATATTATAACTCTAAAAAAGCTGTACTTCTTATTATACATATGCTTTGTAGATTTGTTTTTTTCTTCATAGAAGTTTTCATTGAAAAAATATGCGGTACAGTTCTATATTCCATAAAAACATAAATTTTATGTTCAATATTATAATTAAATCAAAATCATTAGTTTTTTCACCGTTTTGTTAAAGGTAACATGGTATTTCTTTTGTTGAAAGGAATGCAGCGATTTCTTAAATATATTCATATAATAAATGCTCAAAATGATTTTATAAGTCTCTATGGAATTATTTGTTCTGTAACCCGTGAACCTTCCCTTGTGAAAAAGGCGTTATCAGCTTTAAAAACGGTTATTTACTACTACAAGAGTTGTATACCCCTTTAAAAAGTTAAAATTAAAAATAAAAATGAATACGACAATTTGTACAAGAAAGAATACAAACTACAAAATGAACAAAAATTCATGTGTAAAAGATTAAAACTATTATAAATAAAGCCTGTATAATTCATAAACACTTGATTTTAAGCTAAAATAAATATAATATATATAAAATAAACAAGTAAGAAATGTTAAATAAATAATAATATAATAGTATTTTTATATAAAAATGAAAACATATTTACGAAATAGTAAAAAGTGAGATTGGAAAGAGGGAGGGGAGTTAGACTAATGAGGAGAGAGAGGAAGTTGTATTATTTGTGGGGCAAAACCCATGATTCAGATAACTGGGGCTTCCTGACATAAAGTAATGATGCAAAGCCCCATTTTCACTCCTTTCTATATAATCCCCTCCGCAGCACCTCTTCACTTCGTAATCCCTCAAAAACCAAAACCCCTTTTCTCCCTTCCTCTCTCTACAGTTGGAGATGACGGTTGATGAACAAGACTTGGGTTTGAGTCTAAGCTTGAGCTTCCCTCACAATCCCCCTCTCATCCCCTCTTCTCCTCACAAACCTTCTTGGAACCACCCTTTCACTTCTGCAGGTCTGTGTTTTTCGATTCTCAAGCTTTTCTTTTCTTTCTAGATCTGGTCCTATTTATCTTTTACTTTAACCAGGTAGCTTCCTTGTTTTTCAAAAAAAACAAACGCACCTTAGCGGAATAATTTTACCCCACCTTTTCTCTTTTCGTTCTTGCTTTTCATGCTCGTTCAAAGCTTCTCAATTTTTGCCTTCTCTCTTTTGCTCCTCACTTTAATATGAGTTGGTTCAATTAATAACCGATGTTTTTGCATGCTGCAGAACGAGATTCGGAAACATGCAGAGGTGAAGCTGGATCGTTCCTCCGCGGAATCGACGTGAACCGTTTACCTTCTGGGGTTGATTGTGAAGAAGAAGCGGGTGTTTCATCTCCGAACAGCACTGTTTCTAGCGTGAGTGGTAAGCGTAGCGAGAGGGAGAACAATGGGGAAGAGCTCGACACAGACAGAGCTTGTTCCAGAGGGATCAGTGACGAAGAAGACGGTGAAACCTCTAGGAAGAAGCTTAGGCTCTCTAAAGACCAGTCAATTATTCTCGAAGAGAGCTTCAAAGAACACAACACTCTTAACCCCGTAAGTAAATCAGAAACCATGCAAATTAGTACTTTTTCTTTATCACCGTGTTTTTAGTTTTGTTTGTGTTATTTTGACACGTTTTTTCTTACAGAAACAAAAACTGGCCCTGGCAAAGCAATTGGGTCTTCGAGCAAGACAAGTAGAGGTGTGGTTTCAGAACAGAAGAGCAAGGTATGTTCATTTTATTAATCATGTTGTTGTTGTTGTTATTAGTTGGATTATGTAAAATTTACGGTTTGTGAAACTGAAATTTCAGGACGAAGCTGAAGCAAACGGAGGTAGACTGTGAGTTTTTGAAAAGGTGTTGTGAGAATCTGACGGAGGAAAATAGGAGGTTGCAGAAGGAAGTGCAGGAACTGAGAGCACTGAAACTTTCCCCTCAGTTCTACATGCAGATGACCCCACCCACAACCCTCACCATGTGCCCCTCTTGTGAGCGCGTAGCTGTTCCGCACTCTGCCGTTGATGCTGCCACGCGTCACCATCCCATAGCCCCGGCTCATCATCGGGCTTTCCCGATTGGCCCATGGGCTACTTCAGCTGCTGCTATTCCGCACAGGCCCTTCGATGCCCTCCGTCCCAGATCTTGACCACAAGAAACAAAATGACAAAATTAAGAATGGAAAAAACGGTTGTAATAGCGTACCCATGAATTCTGTGTTCAAAGTGTGGTCTAAGATATGGTGGTTAGAAAAACTGATTTTGTGGGTCTCCAATGTTTAGTACTAGTTTGACCCTGCGTCTTCTTTTGGTTTTGGGGGGCATGACCCAGACCTATTCTCTATAGGATTTTTTTAGTTTCTAAATACTTACTTCGTCCGTCTCATTTCTCATGATTAATCGGAGACTTTGTGTAAAGTTCAGTGGTTTAATTAATCATGTATATATTTCCTGTGTTAGCAGATTTTGTTGCATAACCTAAAAGTCAAATTTGTGTTTGGGTTGATTCCTAACCCCTCGTTACGTGTTCAAAGATCTTCGTTTGATTTCGAAGTGCGGGAATTAGTGGGGACTAACTACGGGTTTTGGGCACGAATTTGACAAAGCAAAGGAAATAAACATTTTTTTAGAGTTTGCCCTAAATGACCAAACACTGCTCAAGAATTTTGGGTCATTATGGGCCCCAATTGATAGTGGTTTTTAATGTATGAGGGAACCTTACATCCATGGATTATATGTGAGCATTACCCGATTTTTAAGTTTATACATGTTTGTTTTATTATAATTGCCCTCTCCCTACTCCACACGGCTATTTCCATTGTCTGGTTAAATTGGTTAATGCTCATGTGTGCTCAAGTGATTGATCTCTATTTGCTACCTTGTCTTTCTTTTCAGGCTGTGTGTGTGTGTGGACATAATGATAGGTCCCCGTTATTATTGGAAGAAAATTTCTCATATTTGCATGCAATTGGTGACTATAATCGTATAACGTGTTAATAATCATTGGTCAATTTTCTCTCTCATGTTTCCATATTTTTAGTAGAACTTTATCCTTAATTTTATCTATAACTGTTATCATTTAAAATATACTATCTGAGTATCCGCTATTCAATTTAGAAAAGTCTAAACGATTGGATTCAATTAGAATTGAGCCATATGCTAGCATAAAAATCAAAATAAGTGATTTAAATCGTGTTACACCATTACATGTTAGTAATTATAGTTTGGATAATTTTATTATCCTGAAGTAAGGGTCAAATTTATTTCAATATTAATAATACTTTAATATAATTGTGTAGTAATAATGACGATCCGACCAATAAGAGATATAGAAACGAAAAAAACTGATCTACGAATTTACAATTGTATAGTAATTTATTTATCAAATTGTGCACAATACATTTTTATGTAAAGAAAAAGGTTTTATTTTATATATTAAGTATACGATAAATCTAGTGAACGAAAAATATTAGTAAGGGTTACAAAGATTAATTTTTAAATAAGAATTATTTTCACATATTACTATAAAAATAATGAATCTTAATTATATAACAACATATGAATGTCAGGATTAGTTTGATTCAACTATACAAGTATACAACCATGCTGATGACAATCCTCTGGTACGTGGATGTTATGACGCTTATGTCACCTTTATGGAACAGTTAAATAAGATATCTAACACTAATCAAGTCTTAATTGGGAAGCTTTATTTTATGAGCATGGTATCACCAATATGGGGTAAATATATAGGATATAAATAGCAGTATATATGTATATATATACACAATTGAGTACTATTTTGTGAAAAATTTAATGAGGTATTATCATTTCATGAAAAGTTTCTCCAGCACTATTTTTTATCTCTTTCTATTCTTAAAAGCTTTATCCTACTTCAGACATTAAATTGTAAATTATAAAAAAGTAATAATTACATCCTAACAATATCATTTATTATTTGTCATTTTCTATACTAGCATGCTATCTTAGCAAGATGTATTGGAACCTATTCCAATAACTCACAGAGGAAAGAAAACTCAATGAACATCTAAAAAAATAAATAAAACCTATTACCAAGCAGTCTATTAAAAATTTGAAATCAGTTTTATGTTTTATGTGCTCTATGGTATTAAAGTTCTTTTTGCCTACCATTACAAAACTTTTGCAAGTGAATAGAAGAAGAGGTAACCAGTGAGTTTTATTTCTTCTGTCATCATATTTGGTTATTCCTTATTTTATTACTTCTTCATATTTGGTTTACCCTTCTTCACATTATTTTTACATATTATGTTCTATCAAAGGATTTTACTATAGATTTTTCTTTCAACATTTTCTTGCCTTCTGCTTTTGTAAAGAATTTTTTAAATGAAATCACACGGCAACATTACGCATGATTCTTATATATTTTTTTTCTATAGTATAAATTTGAAATCAATTTTATGTACTTTGCAGTCTTGAAGCACTTCTGCCTACCATTACAAACATTTGCACGTGAATAAAACAAAAGTTAAGCAATAAAGTAAGTTATCATCTGCATTTTGCTTTATTGTGTCTTTATATTTTGTTCTTCCTTCTTCACATTGTTTGAAATCAGTGTGGTGTGTCTGACTCCATTGCTCTTTCTTTCACATTTACAAACCTTGCAGATAAATAGAAGAAATATTAACCAATGTAAGTTAGGTATAATCTATATTATATTTTTGTATGCATTTATGTTTAGTTTATTCTTATTCACATTGTAACTATATAAACACCCTAAAAAATAAATTCAATCAGCACTCTCAACTCTTTTTCTATTAATTTTGTGTACTTTGCGATTCTGCTATTCTACATCCTTAACAATAAATCTTGCATTTGAATAGAAAAAAATCTTAAAAAAGCAAACTCAGGTATCATCTCTATTTTTTTCTTACATCTTCATGTATGGTTCATACTTCTTCTTCCTCTTTCTTTTTTATTCCTTCCTTTTTCTTTTATATGATTTATAGAGCATTATTGTTTTTTTATATTTTGATTGCTTACACAATATTGTTATGCATTTTTCCATTGCTTGACAAGAACAAACTAAAGTATCATCCCCACTTTGATTCACCCTTCTTTCTTTTTATTATTATTCATTACTTTGTTTTTGTTTTATATAATATTTATATAGTATTAATTTTTTAATATTTTGATTGCTTACATACTTTTGTTATGCATTTTTCTACTATTTGGCAGGAATAAACATTAATAAAGATTAACTAAGGAAACAAAAGTATGACCTTTGTTATGCATTTTTTTTTTTTTTATTGTTATGCTTTTTTTATATTTTGATTGCTTACACATATTTTTTATGCATATTTCTATTGTTTGGCAGGAACAAACATTAGTAAATGTTAACTAACAAAATTCAAGTATGATCTTTTTGTGTATTTTTTTATTTTTTTATTATTATGCTTTTTTATATTTTGATTGCTTAGACACCTTTAATATGTTTTCTTTTTCTTTTTTTGTCTATGATTTTCACTTTCTGTCTGCAATAATATGTTGTTATAAAACATAATTATTTTATTGTTTAGTAGTGTAAATATAAATTCAAGGTTGACCATTATTTCTTTACATCTTTATTTTTTCTGAAATGATTTTATAATGCATATTCTGTTCAACGCTTTCTTTCCATTTTATTTTGCAAATGATCCTTCGAATGCATTCAAATTGTCAAACGAAATTATAATGTTTTGTATATTTAACGAGTTTGACAAGGTAATGTTGAAAACGAAATTAATTATTTCTTTACTATAGCATATGTTTTATATACTAATATATGAAGTGATTACTATATATATTTTTGAAATATTAGTTAAAAAAATTGTTTTATGTACTAATATTTAAATAGATATCAATATACGATTGATAAAGTTAAAATAGAAGTTAAGACTTTTGATTCTTAGACTTTTTTCATTTAATTGTATTAACTTATTATCATACTACTAGAAGTCAATTGATATTTTCAGATTTTTAGACATCTATGTTTTTATTTAAATATACAATTATATTGTTCTTATGTTATAAAATATGTCAAAGAAGATGATTGCAAAATTTATAAATGGTGAGAATGAAGCTTGAAAGTTATGTGGTTCAAATAAGATATAAGTTGTATACAAAATTTTAATTTACTGTAAATCTAATATCAAATTTGAAAGTTGATAGAAATAATTTTACATGTTGAACAAATTTAGAAAGGGAGACAAATGTGTTTTTGCATTTGATGATTCAAATATGCAACTTTAGATGTTTCTTTTATATTATTTATTTTTTGTTGAAATAATTTCTTTTATACAAAATAAGATCTTAATAAATTTATTATAAAAAGTTACATTACTCGAACAAATAAATACACATAAGAAGAAATATACCGGGAAGAAAATACTTATATTAATATAAATATTTATTTGATAAAATTATCATAATATATATAAAATACATATTTCAATAAAGTTGATGAGAAAAAGTGTTAATATTTTTTTTTTATCAAAATTTTATTTATTATTTTTATGTTGTTGAATTAAGCTAATAAAATATATTAACAACATTAAATTTGATTATAAATTATAACTTCTAACGTGTTAGATTTTATTCAGTTTAACTTAATTTTAAATTGTAGAATAAAAATATAATTAAATCATGTAAAAATTATGATTAATAACGGGTTAGTATATTAACATAATTTAGATGATTTTTTTATACTACTAATTAAATACACTTAATTTTTTCATTATAATCAAAGTAGTTTTTATTATCTTCTATTTTGTTGAATTAAGCTAATAAAAAAAATTAAATATATTAAATTTAATTATAAATTATATCTTCCACTGTATAAGATTTAATTTAATTTTTAATACAAGAAGAAAATCTAACTAAATCACGTAAAAAATACGATTAAAAATAGGTTAGTATATTAAAATAATTTAGTTCGAGTTTTAAATATTACTAATTAAATAAACTTAATTTTATGAAAAAGTTGACACACTTATTTATTAAACATTTTTTTTTACCTTTTTTAATGATAATTTTTTTTATTTTGAATAATATTATTATATTTTTTTAATTTTTAAATCTTATTTATAATAATCTCTTTTATATAAAATAAGAAATTAAAAGATTTAGTATAAAAATTTATATTAGTTGAACAAACGAATGCAGATATATATATATATATATATATATATATATATATATTGAAAAGAAAATATTTATATTAATATAAATATTTATTTGATAAAATTAGTATAATATATATAATATGTATATTTTAATAAAGTTAATGATAAAAATTGTTAATTTTTTTATTATAATCAAATTTTTATGCTATATTTTTTATGTTGTTGAATTAATCTTACAAAAAATATTAAATATATTAAATTTAATTATAAATTATATCTTGCATCGTGTAAGATTTTAATTGATTTAATTTAATTTTAGATACAACAATGAAAATATACCTAACTCACGTAAAAATAATGATTAATTACATATTCATATATTAAAATAATTTAGATCGATATTTTTATTTTAATATTTAAATAAACTGAATTTTATAAAAAAACTGACACACCCATTTATTAAGTTCTACTATTTTACTTTTTAAATAGACTGATTTTAAAATTTGAATAATATTATTATATATTTTTATTTATAAATTTTTATTTATAATAATTTCTTTTATATAAAATAAG